TTGGAAAGTTTTCTTCCAGGATTTCATGGAATAGATTTTCCATGCCCTTCTTAGTTTCTTCACCTCCTGGGTTACCAATTATTTGGATGTTTGAATTTTAATGGAATCTAGTATTTCTCGTATTTTATCTCCATGTTCTTTTTTTATTTTCTCTATTTTTTGGGTGCTTTTTTTTCTATGGCAGAGGTTTTGTCTTGTCTGAGATTTGATCTTCAGCATGGTCTAGTCAGCTTTTAATACTTTTGAGAAAGTTTTTGATTTTCTGTATTATAGACTTCATCTCTAATAGTTCCATCTGATTTTTTCTTATGGTGTCCTTTTTACTTTTTTTCAAATTGTGGAAGGACTTCCTCATCTCTTGGAGTTTGTTGTCTCTTTTCTGTTCCAACTCATAGAGTTTTGTCACCTTGAATGTTTGGAATTCTTTCTCTGATATTTCACTGACTTCTTCTGTTTTTTTTCAAGAGGTAAAGGAGAGTTATTGTGTTCTTTTTATGGAGACATATTTCCTGTTTTTTTTAAACTTGAGGCTCTTCTGCAACTTCTAGTCTGCTGTGGATATTTCATAAACCATTTCGGCCTTTCCAACCTTGGCCTCCCTGTCTTGGGCTCTGCCAAGTTTGGAGTCTCTGAACTTGATTCCAGAATAAACTATTGCTCATGGGATTCCAGCTCTCAACCCAGAACAGTCAGTTCTCTTGACATATGACCTGCAGATTTGAAAGCATAATTTTAGGGGTAGAAGAAATCCTAAGCATAATTTACTTCAAGCCATTTCCAGAGCCCCAGGAAGAGTGACTTGCTGACATTCAGAAAGCTGGACAGCCGCAGAAGCAGGCCAAAGCTCAGGCCTTCAGTGCCCTAGCAAGCACTGAGCAAGGAATTCCTGCCTTGTCGCTTTTCACTTTCTTTGGTATGGTTGTTTCCTGCTGGGTCATTGGTATATGTGCTGCCGAAGCGAGCACTCCTGCTGGGTCATTGGAAAAGCCATGAGACATTTCTGTATAGAAAAATCTAGAAAAATACATCATGACTTTCCCAACAACCTAATATATGCCTCTCCTGGCTGGAAGGAAGTAAAGACTAGATATGTTTTCAACTCAAACCTAATGTTTGACACTAATTTCAGTTAGATATCAAAGCACTGAAGGGTGTTTGCTAGTTCGTGATGGTGTGGCTGCCTTGAGGGTCTGTTCAGCATGGGTGGCTCCCCACTGTCCACTGGAGAGGGTCCAGGCCAAACTAAGATGGGGCTCCATATTTCTGTCTCACTGTCCATCCTCTCTCAGCTGTTGTGATTCTTGGCTACAATTGCTTACTTGACTTAAATGAAATTTAATTTTAATTTTCCTCACTAAATGTCCTTTTAAATGTATATATCATTTACATATATGTAGATATATATATATGTAGATATCATTTATATAAAATTATATTTAACCCCCACACACAGCAGCCAGAATACTGTTTTAGAAATTAAAATAACACCAGGCCAGCCCCATACCACAGTGGTTAAGTGCTGTGTAAGAAACCACATACTACATGACCAACTGAGGTTATATATATCATTAGATTTCATGATTTTGATGTTCTTGAGTCTCCTGCTAAGGAAGTGGGCTCCTTTCTCATGTTATTCCCAGTTGAATTTCTGGCACGTAGGCCACATCTGGCCTAGACTAGGCATAGATCTATTTATAAACTGAATGGTTGATGACTGTATGCTTTAGCTTTACATTAGTACATGAGGGAATTTTTTGAAAGGTGAAATTTCTAAGGTAAAATGAAGAGTGCCTGGATAGTTCACTAGGTTCAGTAGTCTTTATTTCATGCCAGTTGAATAAACATTGATTTATGATCTGTTACATGCCAAAGATTTTGTTAGATATGATATTTCAAAGATGGAAAACACTGGGACCAGCAGTTACCGTAATGGCTATGTCGCTGGACTCCCACATAGTCGACCGCAGTTTGTGTCCTGGACCTGGTGGCTTAAAACTCATGTCAGGTGCGTGTGCGTGTGTGCCCAAGATCCTGAGAGGAGAATGGAGGAGAAGGGATTGTGGCGTGGCCATCCCCCCAGGGGGTGATTTCTTGCTTTCTGTCTCTCTGTCTCTCTGTCTCTCTCTGTCTGTCTGGTGAGAGCATGCGCCCTATAGCGAAAACTTCTCAAAAAAAAAAATAAAGATGGAAAATATTGATCTCTCTGTTAAGGAACTCTCAACCTGGTAGTGACCCTGGAGAGATAAATAAATAACTTTAACATTATGTGCTATGAATAGGGCTATAGACAATGTATGGGGAGTGGAAAAGGAATCAGAAGGAACCATAGAAGGAGCCACTCATCAGAAGGTGACGAGTTAATGGTTTGGAGAAGCAGAGATTAACCAGATAATCCATTAATGAGATGTGCAATTACTGGGGAAATTAATGAAGGAAGGAAAAGAAAATATGAGGCTAATTAGACAAGGACCTATTGAGAAGGCAGTAATATCCTGATGATGATAATGTTGATGGTCAGGAAGCATTAAAGGAGGGGTGGAATGGGTGAGGGTTTTCCAGACTGAAGGAGTAGCAGATTTGAAGACCCTGGAAGAAGAGGTACCATGATATATCCAGAACATGGAAAGCAGGCAAATTGGGTGGAAGTGAAGCTGAGTGAGGGAGGTCAGGTAGGTGATGAAGTCGGAGAAGCAGCTGAAGGCCAAGATCAGTTAGGAACCTGCTATACAAAGTGGAGAGTGTGGATTTTATTTAGGAACCCTGGTAAGCATTGGGTTATTTTATTTTACATTTTAATTTCCAAGGAGTTCATGTACTTGAGAAGGGGACAAAGAGAGAAGAGAGGTGGAGAGAGAGAGAGAGAAACTCCCCAGTGGGCACTTTTCCGCTCTATTTCTCCAGCCCATCCTGATCGTAAGCACACATGTATATGTGCCTGGCATGTTTTTTGAGCTATCAGGGTTGGAATGCCAACCTCAGCTGGCCATGTGCTATGTGTTTTTCTACACAATACTTAATCACTGTATTACGGGGCTGGCCTGGTGTTATTTTAATTTCTGAAATAGCATTCTGGCCACTATGCACAGAATGATCTATACAGGAACAGTAGGCAGGTACAAAAATGCAGGTATTAAATCATGTAGGCGCAGGAAATATGGATGGCACTGAAGATGGAGAGAAATGGATAGTTCAATGCCTCTTTAAAACTCATAGGTATTGAGTGAGATTAAACATGGGAAATAAGATATATGCTGGGCCAAGGAAGGTAAGTCTTTGGCACATGCAACTGACTGAATGATGACACTATTCAACTGAAATAAGATTCCTGGAGGAAAATAAGACTTGGAAGTGAGATGAGTTTGGTCATTGGAAGGTTGAGAATGAGGTGCCTTTGCGATGCCCATGTGGTGATGTAGAATAGGTGTGTTCTATAAAGGTCTGGAGTTTAGAGAAAGGGCAGAGATAATACTTTCAAAGTCATTGGCTTTTAGATGATAACTGGAGAGTTGGTCTGAATGAGGTTGCATAGGAAAAGAGTTGACAAGGAGGGTAGAGGACTTAGGAATGAAGAACGAGGAATAGACCGAGAAATGTTAGGGGGTAAAATTAGTAGGACTTGGAGATTGATAAATTGAAAGGGTGAGAAAAAAGCTGTTGCCTGAATGACTTCCAGATTGTACACATGTGTGATCTAGTGGGTGTTTGTGCATTAACTAGCTAGAAACTCATCATGAAACTTCTGTTTGGGACATGCTAAACTTACATCGTTTGTAGAATGTGCAAATATTATCTCCATCATAAATGACTTTGCATTTTTTTCTGCTTCCCTCTTATAAGTTTTTCACATCCCACTTCAGACAAGTAGAAGGAATGTGGGGGTAATAGGTGATGAATAAATTTTGGTGGGCAAATGGGGAAGGAATAAGTGGAGAGAGACTAAGAGGGAAAGGAGTCCAGGGAGATAATCATAAAGTATGGTGGTGAGAATAGAAGAGGTAGAATACCAGGAAAAGAAAGGATGTAAAAGAATAGGAGAAAGCAGGGTTGAGGGTCAGAGGAGTGAAACTGAAGACAAGACAGGATCATCATTTCTCTCCACTGAGGACCTAGGCTTTGCTTACAGCTGATGCTTGACAAATTTGTATTTAGATGACTAGGTAAGGACACTTTATTATACAATCTTATCAGTTTATATATATAGCAAGTGTGTAATGGCCCAAGTGAATTTTCTTGGTAGCTCAGCTTCTATTTTTCCTTTTCTTAGCAATTCAATAGTTTTTCGTTGGAAATGCACATTTATGAGTGAAACTTCATTGCATCGTGTTTTTCTGTTTTTCTTGAGCAATATTTATCAACGGTCTGCCTTGTGCCCTGTTTCCTTCCTGTTATTGCATTAAAGTCCTTGAAATGTATCATATGTGATTCTGACACGATTTCTTGTGTGCTTGATTTCTTAGCAAAAAGAATTGATAATGGAGGAAGAATTCCTAAAATCATTTATCCAAAAAACAATTCCATCGAAGTACAACCTGGTGAGTAAAGGCACTGAAGCCATTGACATCACCAAGGGCAGAACTCATTATGTTCAGATATTCCAGTGAGTATTTGGAATTTTAAAGATGAAGAAAAATCCCCTCCACAGTCTGTGTCCAGCTCTGAATGCACCCAGGCTCATCAGGAGAGGCTGACATGCAAATAGAAAGCCAAGAGAGCTGAGTCTTGGGGAAGTAGTGGTCAGATTTCCACAGTAAGCACCATGGGCTGAAAGATGGCTGTAGGGAGAAGCAGATGGTGTAATGGTTACATCGTTGTACTCCCATGTAGGCGACCACAGTTTGAGTCCTGGACCCAGTGGCTTAAAACTCACACTGGGCACGTGTGTGTGTGCTCAAAATCTCAAGAGGAAAATGGAGAAGGGCTTGTCGTATGGTCATCCCCCCTGGGGATATGTGTGATTTCTTGCTTTCTGTCTCTCTAGCAAATGTATATGCCTTATAGCAAAAATCTCTTAAAATAAAAGAAAGATGATTATAAATTTTCTTAGGCAAAGGGGATGAAACTAAACATACCTTTTGTAAAAGATGTGTATATAAAATTACTACTAAACAATGTTGGTCAGCAATTTTGGATTATATTATACTAGACATTATGTGTAAGAACATTCATCAAGAATTCCATGGGAAATGCATGCTATGAAAAAACAATATGTAGACTATTTAGAAAATAATGATAGTGAGAATGCTTCATATCAAAATTCATAGCATGTGATGAGTACTGTACTTGGAACAAGTTTATATCTTTACATTTTATCATTATTATTAATAAACATATAAATAGCTAAAGTCATAAACTAATCATTTAACTTAATATAAAAGAGCCACTAAACAACAAATATAAAGGTAGAAAATGATGAACTTATTAAAAGAAAAGACAAACAGTGGTAAGTCCCAAAATTCGTGGTAGAAAAGTTGAGTGGGAGAGAAGATAAATAAATTTCCAACAGATCTAATCCCCCAAAATACAGATAATCCCAAATATAAAAGACTTAGAAGGCCAGCCCTGATGGCCCAGTGGTTAAGGGAGCTGGATCCCACGTGGCCTACTGCACAGTGCCAGTCTCAGCTGGAGACTTGAAGAACTTGCCAGATGAGTGTGGGTATATGCACGCCTTAAATCCCAGCAAGAGGGAGAAGTGGAGAAAATTGTGACATAGTCATGCTCCATTTGGGGGAGTGCTTTCTCCTTCTTCCTCTCTCTCTGTCTCTCTCTGATGAGTGCATATGCTCTCTGATAAATTTTTTAAAAAATTAAAAAATACAAAAAATAGAAATGTTAAAGCTTATAAAACAGCAAACAGTAAGGAGATAAAATTTATTTAAAAGACTCTAGTCCCATTTATTTCCAGGAGAGTTCTTTTAAACTTCCAAGAAAGTAAAAATGTCTGTTAAAAAAAATTTTTGTCTCCCTATCAGTCACCACATGGAAACACCATAGAATTGATGAACACCTAGGAAGACAAGTTTGCCTGTCTTCATTGGCTCTTTCCCACCCTTGTCTTTGGAACAATCTTAGCCAGTATATTTAGAAAATTAAAAGTCAAGAGATATAAAATCTTGGAAGGAAGAAGATAAACATAGAATTATTTTAGAATGTGCCAGGATACCTACTTGGAAATTTTAAGAGAATTGTCTGAAAACTATAATTGATAGCAATTGTTCTGTTAGGTTATTCTAATACAAAATAAACTTTCAAAGTTAACAGTATTTTTACATGCCCGATGTAATCATATATTACAAGTTGAAGAAGAAATAAAAATTAATTGAGGGATAAATTATTGCAAAAACATAACAAAACATTAAGAAATAAACTAGACAAAGTCAAGAGTTACCCACATTGTAAAAAATTACATTTTAAAGTAGCAATAAATGAGACATGTTTGAATGAAATTCCTTACCTTGTTCTTAAATGGGAACATTTAATATTAAGAATGTTCTTTCTCCTAGGTTAATATGCAATTTTGATATAATATTAATTAAATTTTACTAAATGTTCTGATATTTGTCTAAGCATTTCTAAAACGTATACCAAAAGTGCTGGAGAGAATTAGCCAAGAAAAAAATTGAATAGAAGAAATAGAGACTTTTTCTGGTTAGTTTTCGAGCATGTTATAAACCTGAAATAAACGAATACTGGTATTTCTATCAAATAGACCAGTTAAAGCAGCAGAACAAACAACAACAAACTGCAACAAACATGCCAGAATATGCAGGAATTTAATTAAAGAGATCTGTGACATTTAAAGCTATGTAGGG